GACACCTGGAACTGCAAACAAGACAAATTATGACTCTTTCTATTATGAGTTTTTGATCCATGGTGGTTTTATATTTGTAAAACTTTCCTTAAACCGAGAAATTTAAGAATTAATGACGCCATAACAATGTAAAGTCTATGAGTTGAGTGGCAACACGTGGAAGGACGTGCGAGAAACACAACTGTGCATATTCAGTGGGCCGCAATGGAAGTAAACCAGGAGGCTAGAAACCTTTACTGGTGAATGCACCAGGCAAGCATCTCTCTTGAGGTCTGGTGTCTAGTTATAATTATGCATCTATGCTTCTTCCCTGTCAACATCTGGCAGCCACATTACCCACAATGCAATCTGACCTACAGAGGTCTTTATAGGGTTCTGGTAAGCCCATCTCTCTACCTCCACAGTCATAGGTTTTAGTTTTCAGCTCCAACAAGTGCAAAAAAGGCTGGTACTGTGTACCTTGATTTGTTATAATAGTGGAGTTCCCCTTTAAGGTTATTTTTGCATGGTGTACTGTAAAAGGTGTAGCTCATCCACTGAGGAACACATGACAGGAAGAGGTTTTAAGTGCAGGAAACTGACAAACAGACATTTGTCAGTTACACCCATGAGCCTTGAGCTAGATTATTTTTAATAGACATAGTACCTTACCATATTTTTTGGTCATATGATTTATTACTGCATCTGTATTAACTGGCTGTTAAGCTGCATGAATGCAACAACATCCAAAACCAAAACAAGTGCCTCCATTTTGAAAATAGCCTACACAAAATTCTGTTAAATACTATACTCTAACAACTCCACAGGTTTGATAGATGTTATCTGAACATACTGACTGAGCTCACTACATACGTAACTGTTATTAGCAATACTGACCTCACTGTTCAGAGAAGCAGGTGTGACCCCCTGTTCACATGAAATTGACTTCTTAGAGCCTTGCCCGAGTGCCATTGCATCACTCCGCGTCCTTTGTTCCTTGAGAAATCATCTCATGGTCCATTGGGGCTTATCGATGAATTTCCAATTTAACAGCTTTTATTTAGCATCTCTGGTAAGCACATAACCAGACATGTTGCTCCGACAGACAGCCAATGGCTCCCTCTCTGTTTGTAAGTCCAAAGGTTAAAGGAAAAAAAAAAAAAGTCAGTCAATATTTCCCAAAGCTCATTTGGATCTGTCCATGGCTTAGGCTGAGTTATTTGTATGCTATACCTGACAGTGGGATGAAAATAGAGTACATCCACAAAGTCATACCTTAATCATAACTACATGTCGTAGAGCACTGTGTCATCTAAAAGGAGCAGCAGCAAGTCAGGTAAGCACAGGTATACTGATGTCACTATCATTACCTAGCAACAGTGATGCTCCCAGTCAACTCCCCCGCACAAGTAAATCAGATGGGAATGAAGCAGGGTCAGGCTATTTACGTACTCAAATCGTTTCCCAGAGTTCATTTCACTTTCCATGCAAACAAGGAATCCCAATGGGAGAGAGAAAGCCTGAGGCTGAGGCAGAGATCTGTGTATTAAAGACGCAGTGTGTTTGATTTTGGAGAAAAATACTGGCAAAAATGGAAGATAAAGAAGTATGTTTAATTTACTGTATAATCACCTGAAAATAAGTATTGTTGTGTTTTTGTTACCCTTGAATGAACCCTTTAAATCTACATAGGGCGCAGATCCTCATCTGGTTCAGCAGTAGCCCAGAACCGACAAACCAGACACGAGCTTTAGATAGGGCCAATGGCATTTTCGCATTGCCCACCCTAGTTGGCAGCCTCTCTGCCAACATTTTTTTAAAGTGAAACTGCTTTTTTTCTAGTGTTTTTACTGGCTTTAATCACCTCTGTGGATAATTTGCCTCCTGCTAAAAACCAAATCACTGATGAAAATTGAGGGGATTCTAAATAGGAGACGTTTCAGCTGGCTGCAATTTGCAATCCTCACTGATATGCCACTAAATCCCTCTAAATCTAAGACGCTGTCCTTTTTAAAAGAGACTGTGAGTTGACCTCATGCATTAATTTCAATATTTTTCCTCAGATACTGATTTCTTCTTTCTGTGAGCAGACAAACATTTTTTTCCCCAGTTCAATTCACCCTCTCCTAATATTATCAAATTAAACAGTGTTTGCTTTCAGCAGTACGTGAATATTTACAAAAAAATCTATCCAAGTTTAAGTTTACAATAAGTTGACAGCATGCCCCAAAATACTCTCATTTCTCTCTTCTCGAACACAAAACTAGAACAAAGCATGACAAGACACGACAAATAAATGCCAATATGAGTTTCCTTTATTGTGAATACATGAAAACCTTCATCCCTTCAATAATAAATGTGAACTGATTTATCATTCTTCAGTCAAACTGAAGTCAAACCCTCAAACACATTCTGAGTTTTATACACTGTTGGAAAGAGATTTTAATGTTTACGATAATATCAGAATTCTTTTTTTACTCCAAATATCAAGCAAAATACCACGGTTGAGCCGAGTACTCGGATGAAATGAGTAAATTTCCAAATGACCAACAATCAAGATGACATAAATCCAGGTTTATCTAGAAATGAGCTGTTGCAGCATATAATAATTTTCATAGAGCATGCCACATATTTTCAGCAATATGAAAATAAAAATAAAAATAACAAAAAACATAATCATACAATGTTAGATGAGTCTTAACGTAGTTTACAGAGGTTAAATACCAACAGTACTTTTTAATATAGTTGCCAGTTTACACATATTTAACATGTGACTAATGACGCCATTACAATATCCTGTGGAGGTTTTTTTTACCACTAGTGGCACTAGATAGCAATGTTTTGATAAGTGGGTTGTTTATGTCCTCTAGAACCAGCAGAGAACACACACACGACCCACGACAGACTCAGTGAACATTTCTGTCGACTCCAGAGGGCACAAACAGTGGATGCAGTTAATACAGTAGCAATGCACCAATAAAAGAGAGAAAGACTGCGACACACAGTGCAGGTTTCAGAACATTCAAAAATACATGCTTTGCAAATGTTTGAGGTAGGAAATGCATTCAACATGATTGTTGGCCTTGAACAATGAATACAGTGACAATATGACAGGATACATTTATGACTGACTCAGTAAAAAATAAAAATAAATAAATAAATCACATAAAGGTTCCGTGACTTACTTTCAGAAAATCCTTGTTTTTAGTGACACCCCTCTCAGGGGGCTGTTAAGTGAACCACAGAGCTGAACTTGTCAGATGCCCCATTTCTATTTTCATTCTGTCACTCACATTGAAAGCAACCCAGTGGACAAGGAACAGCAGATTCATTCAGTTGAAATGAGGAGTTATTTATCTGATACTTCCTCTAATCACTACAAAAACCTAAATAAGGCCACAGCTGGCTGGAGGGAGATCGTTTGGGAGCTGAATGTCAACAATACTATGTCTCGCCATAGTATTGTTGAGAATATAAGGACGAATAATAAGTGAATAATAAGGACGTACCTACTTGCCCATCTTTTCAGGGGTTAAGCTGAGACCACAGGTTTTTACATGACGTGACAGAGTTCCATATTTAAGGGCATCCAATGTAACACAATGTGGAGGGATAGTCTGAAGCAGCTGCCAGTTACAAAGGAATCAACAGCAGATCCATGAAGCTTTACAGCTGGCTATCCTTAGCTGAGAATAGACTCATTAGCCGCCCAGCTAACTGTGCTGCATGGCCCTGAGCCCCTGAGGTCTGGATGAACTTGCTGATGTTATCCACTTAGTACCTTATTTTGCAACGTTTGCTGGCTAGCAATTCATCTGCGTTAGAAAGCAACCCAAGGTTAGCTAACATTTGCCTGCTAAAACCACAGTATCGCAATGTATTTCACATGTTTCCTGTGGAATTTTTTTCAGCACAATGGGGCACTGATACTATGATATGGGGCACTGAATTGATTAATTTACTGTTTATCAGACAACAAATGAGACAAGAATTCGCTAGCGCACCCCGCTGCCTTTCCACTACATGATTACTTTCCATGAAGGAACATGGATGGCAGCTCCTGGGATGGACCTTCAGTCAGCAGCTGTAATGGCTCAAATTCAGACAGCGCAAACTGAAGCAGTGGGTAAAGGTCTTATACAACAGAAAAACAGCCAACATATTCTCATTCCGACATTGTCACATATTGACGTTTGGTCATGGACCTTCCCCTTCGACATATGACGTGCAAGGTACCCTGGGTATGTTGCTTATTGACGTTCTGGAATGCTGTGTCAACTTCAGCCTGTTACATGCATTGTCTGTTTTCAAAATATACCTCTGTTCTCACAGGAAATGTAGTTTGCATATATTCTGTTTCAAAATAAACCCACTACGCCGATATACAGCACCGTGAATTGACATTTTCAACAAATGCACGTGATTACATTTTGCCAACACATGCACATGGTTGGGTTTAGGCAAACAAAAGCATGTGGTTGGGTTTAGGAAAAAAGGAAAATGCTTTACAATCTTTCAGGAGGTGAACACTGCCCTCCCTGGTGAAGATCGGTGGTATCGAGTCACATCCGCCACCCCTCCCGCCCTTCCTACTCAGACTCCCGCTGCCTTAACTTTCATTATGTTTCCATCCAAAAGTGATTTGAATCATTGGGAAATGCGCATTAAAATAAATACGAATCCTGTGTGTTTCCATTAAATGTACGGACTTTGGTGAAAACTACGAACTTGCGCGAGTTTTCCGCAGAACCGAAACAAAATAAGTCTCGCATTCTTCTTCTTCTACGTTTTCTGGTGGTTGGCAACCGGCTTGTAAATGCGTTACCGCCTTCCCGCTCCAGAGTGTGGATATCACCACGGAGAGAGATGCGCTACGTCAGACTTAATTGGAACATAATTGTTTCCATCCCCCGTTTTGCGAATCAACATTTTTTTTAATCAACCAAAACCTGGCTAAAGGGAGCGTATTTTAGTTTGTGCGAATCAGGGGATTTTAATTCGAATTTTGGTGTTTCCATCATAATTTTCCGATGCGATACTTCTAGATGCGCATCTAAACAGGCTGATGGCTGATGGAAACATAGCTATTGGGCACTGTTAAACAATAACGGTAGCTGACCACGTATCATGACGATGTGGAAGGACAGCTTTTTTATCGGTGTCTGGTGTCGAAAGTCACTGACCAACACTTCGGAATGAGACCCAGTTGGTGTGGACTCTGTGTTGTGGTGGGTGCCGGTCGTTTGTTGACATTAGCGGACTCCATTTCTTAGCTAACGTTAGCTAATGTTACGGCTGCACACTGTAGCACTGTAGCGAAGCTGAAAAGAGATGCGTCACATTGCTGGGAGAAGTTTGTCCCAGACGGCTTTCTGGCAGAGAGGGATTTCCTGATCGATATTTATCACATCCTTTGCATTTTCTGTGAAAAATTCGGCACATGTCCTCTACATAGAAGTTGGTCCACAGGCTGTAATATGCAATTGAGAAATTTGGGGGAAGGTCTCAGGTTTTGAGATTCGTTACAATCAATTCACATCATGCGCTTTAGAGATAAGTCAATCTACACTTATGGACAGTATGCCTTTGGTGCAGCCACATATTTGTAATTTTTTGAATAAAAAAAATAAAATCTATTAAGTTACCCAGCATTCCATATAATCTGCATGTATCCATCTTGAATAAACAAGTAAAAAGTGTCTCTTGAGCTATTGTATTACAATGGCTGATTGTGAAGACATTATACCATCTCACCAGCAACACAGCAGTGTAAAAACCCTTCAAGCAGGTACAGTAGACATTGCCCATACATCTTTCTCCCTGCAAACTGTCACAATAAGTAACACAAAAGTACATATTTTTTTTCCAAATTTTTTTAGTATAAAAAACAACCAAAGCATAATTGGAAAAATATTAGCCTCTTGTTTTCTCAAATAATAAATACACATGAGAAATATGCTAAATAAAGCAGTGTGAAACAAAAATACATTCATATATTGTACCGTCTTTGAGAGTCGGGCATTGAGCGTTGAATAAATGCCCTTTTAATGTTACATACTACTGCGAACAGTGAACAAGCATGTCTGACTTACTCTCTAGTAGTCAGGCTGTCATGATGTGTTGTACAGCATTTTCTATTAGGCCTGTTGGAGAGATTTCTTTTTGTTCTCAGCTCTGTTCCTGTCTTACCGGCATGTATCCATCACTAGAGGGCTCTACTGACCTGTTAGTTGGCAGTAGAGCAATCCTCTCAAGTAAATGACTTGACAAAGGTCGCAGAGCTGGACTAAAACCTGGCCCAGAGAAGTTCAAAGGCAGTGGTGAGAAAGAGGGCAAGGAGCACGGTAAGGTGCTAAACGGAGGAGGAAGAAGGAGGCTGGTAGATTCAGTGGACTTATCAGCATCCTCCAGACTCTCCTCCTGACTCACCTGCTCCTCACCTCCACTGCTAATGTCTGAATCCAAGCTAGGGAGCTCGGGGCAGTCAGCCTGCAGCTTCTGGACTTGCTCGTAACCAGAACAAACCTGAATGGACCCTTTGCCAAAAATATCTCCACCGCCCCCAAACAACTTCTTTAAATCTGTTTCTTTCTCATTCCCTCCCTCCCTCTCCTCCTCACCTTCAGGCTCCTCGTCGTGACTATCACTCATAGTGATGCTATCTGCCTCCAGACTCTCTTGACTGACCTCTTCACCACTGCACATGCCTGAATCTAGACTCTGGAGCCTGGAGCGCTCGACCTGGACCTTTTCAACCTTCTCATAGTCTAAAATCACCGGCATAAGCTCACTGCTGTTGCTACATTTGGAGAGCAACTGGCGGGTCTCCACTTCTCTCCTTCTCTCTTCATCCCTATCCTGTTGTTCATTTTTCCCTTCGCTTTGACTAACAACAGGCCCATAAGGTGTATCAGTGTCACAGGGCGGCAGATTCCCCGCAGTGAGCGAGGTGACAGGAGGAGGAGGACAGGAGTAGATGGGGTTGGAGTAGTTGGAACTGGTCGACAAGTGGCTGCTTTCACTTCTCATTTTTTCGAGCAGCGCTGCCTCTGGCCCGCAGGGTGTGACAGCGTCCACAATGGAGGTCACTTCTACAGAGACGATTTCCACTGGTTTAAAGATGGATTGAAAGGATTCATTGTTGAAGTGAGGGCTCAACCAGCTCTGTAGGAGAAAAGGTCAAAGGTGGAAAAGAAGAAATTGTTAAAAGGTTAAAAATACAGAAGTAATTAAATTTGGATTAGGCTGTAAAGCTGCATAAAACTGCCAGTCTGTAAATAGTCTTTAGTGTTTTATCTCTGTTGCTACAGTGACACTGTTTTCACCTTTTGGCTCATAAAGGTCATGCAAGATGACTGATCAGTCAATTTTTTGTCTGGTTTCACAGCCTACGTGATTCGCACATCCTGCTGTTATATTATTCATGTTGAGCTCTGCCTTTTTTTAATGTTGCTATCTTTGAAGCTGCACTAATATGTATTTTTTGATAAACATGGATCAAACGACTACATATGCCAGCAAACCCTGACAGTGATGAACCCTCAGAAAGTTATCTCCCTACTCTGCACTTTCATTAAATAAGTATTTCACTGCTGAAAGAACAGTCTTTTCAGAAAATCGGGCTGTTTCTGTAGTAGAGAGACTTAAAATTAATGCTATATGCCAAGAGAAAGCTGACGAAAAAGAATGTAGCCTAAAAACTACAACTGCCAGGATGCACTCTGCCACACCACTAGTTGGTGACCCAATGCAAATTTGTCTGTTTTGACATAGGCAACAATATGGCAGCCAGCTGGTACCAAACGATCTGGAATTACAGTTAAACAGTAAGCTATGTGTCCAAAAACATTTTAGTTGAGAAACAGGAAAAGCAGTATCAGAATCTTAGTTCATATCTGATCAGCGCTGCTCAGTTTTACCATTTGATCTCAGTATTTTCAGCTTCTGCTTTTACGACACACGAAATAGTATGGCGCTCACTTCTTGTTTACAAACGCTGTTACAAGCGCTAACATATGTTTCTGAAGACTTTCATCCACCCATTTCCATCCACTTCCATCCCAGGTTGCGGGGGCAGCAGACAAAGCAAAGCACCCCAGACGTCCCTCTCCCCAGCGACACTTTCCAGCTCCCAGACCAGATGAGAAATGTAATCCTTCCAGCGTGTTCTGGGTCCGCCCTGGGGCCTCCTACTACTGGAACGTGCCTGGAACACCTCTACCGGGAGGCGCCCAGGAGGCATCCTGATCAGATGCCCGAACCACCTCAACTGACACCTTTCGACGCAAAGGAGCAGTGTCTCTACTCTGAGCTCCCTCCGGATGTCCGAGCTCCTCACCCTATCTCTAAGGCTGAGCCCAGCCACCCCACGGAGAAAACTCATTTCGGCCGCTTGTATCCACAATCTCATTATTTCGGTCACTACCCAGAGCTCATGACCATAGGTGAGGGTTGGGACATAGATGGACCAGTAAATCAAAAGCTTTGCCTTCTGGCTCAGCTCCCTTTTCACCACGACAGACCGGCGCAGCATCTGTATCACTGCAGAAGCCACTCCAAACCACCAATCCATCTCACGCTCCATTCTACCCTCACTCCTGAACAAGACCCCGAGATACTTGAATTCCCCTGCTTGGGCAGTAACTCTCTCCCAACTAAAGACATTTTAGGTTAAATATGCTTAGATTCCAGTTCGTATGTGATCAGCACTGCCTCGTTTTAACGTTTGATCGGAGTTTGGTCTGAATTTCAGAGAAAGAGCTCTCTCGATCTGCGTCAGTGCTCTCTGTCCATGGTGGTGGGCAAACAAAAATGCGGTAGTAGTTTTGTATTTTGAGCAACAGCCAGTGAAAATCCGTAGGATGATGCATTTGAAAAAAAAAGATGATCAGGGAGATCTGGGTGCTGGCAAGATGGAAGGAAGTTTACCATAGTTCATTTACACATACTACCCCCCTTGTTGTGACACAAAGCTGGCTGAAAACTGGCAAAGTATCCTCTTAATCTTCATGGAGCCTTTTGGCATCTTTTAGCTAATAATTATAGTTACTTGGCATGCAATTTTAGAGTCAAATTGTGTTTCAATCTCATTGTTATTCACAACCTTGCTTACAGATGCAGATGGCAGCTGTTTTCAACAACCCACTCTGATAATCTCACTATATGCTTACTGCTCAGCACCAAATGACAGACAGTTACCATTAGCGAGTCTAGGGACAGCAAAGTTGGTGGACAGCAAATAGAGATAAAAGAAGAGTGAACAGTGAATAAACGTGTATGGTGAACTCACCAGGAAATTTCCATTCTGCTGGAAGAATTTCTCTGGGTTCGGAAGGGGCGGACCTCTGATTCGCTTAACTATGTAAACCCTGAAAGACAGAATGACGTAATCTTAAAGCACAGTTGTCAAAAAATACATGTGTATATGCTGCTCTTGAACAAAGAAGATCAAAATTCAACACACTTTGCATCCAAAGTGACACAAATGTCTTAGAAAAGTACTTTCAATTTGTGTCTTCTTACCAGGTGGTTTTGTCGGTCTTGTATCGTAAGACAACCAGAAACACAGCCAATGCCGCCGCACCGCCAACGATGCCCAAAAGACCAGAAAGATCTGACAGACAGGATAGAGTATTTCACATTAGCCAGGAGGTAAAGACACTCTAAAGAACAAACTGGGTAACATGTCTGTGATCTTCATACAATTATCCTGAAAAATTTCTGTTTCTCAACTGGTTTCCTTTGCAGGAATTAAAAGCAGAGCAATAAATGCTCAGTGGGACTGAAGGTAACTGAACTCCTGAAACTGATGAAAATGATGTGACATTCATAAGATGTTGCTTTCCACTGACTGCATTTGTTAAGCTAAACCAATTAGCTTTGTTCATATTTGGCAACCTTTACCTGATGTTTGTGGTTTTGGTCTTCCGATGGGTGATACCCATGATGTAGTAGGGCCCCAGTCACTCCAGGTTGACTTGGTGTTTCTTGAATTGTCCTTTACTCGAACGCGTGCCTTATACCTTTCGCCTTTTATCAGCTGATCAGGGTTCAGTTCTGTTGTGCAGTCCCATTTACACTGTATGCATGATTCCTTAGGATCCTGTCAAAGAAGAAACATGTGGATGGTCAGTACGCTGTTTTTTAAATGTCTGTTCATGCACTGTTGCTTAGATTTGCTATAACCACAAGGTATGAAAATCATTTGACATTCAATCTCAAGATCTCTGCAACACGTGTGCTCATCTTTGACAAAACGCACACACTTACTTATGCATTCACATACTAACATAGACACAAAATAGATACACACACTCCATGACTGATCCTCTTGTGTCCACTGCAGTTGGGTGCAGTAAGAACTACTTCGCTGCTGCAAAATTTGAGGAAACCAGGAAGCGGTGGTAGAGTTGATAGCTGGTTTTGGTGGAGGATTCAGCTTTACTGCAGTATCACACAAACATAGTTTGTTTTAGGTCACACACATTGTTTGTGTTAAGTCACAAGGAGGCAATGTATTCTTCATTGTACTCACTGTGACAAGCTGGCTTGAAGAAAATGTTCAAACTTTGGGTCCCAGGCTTACAGCTCAGATTAATGGAGATGTTATGAGAGCGCTGAAACTGAGAACATTTTAAGAAAAGAACATTGCTGTTAGAAAATATTTAACAATATGAAATGGAATAGGAACTAAATAAGTGTAGGGGCTTTGAACACCATTATGTTTTGTTTAATGATAAAGCTGATGATCTGCTGGACAGGTGAACTCATACTGATTAAAAGCAGCAAACAGCTTCAAATGTAGACAGACAGAAAAGCTTAATCAGAAAACTTTAAATAAATGACAGGACTAGGTGTTGAATGTCTGTCTACTGTACACCTTCTGTCTTTCTTGTCAAGATCTGATGAGAGAATTGATACAACTCTTAAGGTTTGTAAATTTACGCTAACTACTGTGTTTCTTGTATTTGTGGTTGTTTTTGTTCCGTGTAGGTTATTTTTTTTGTTATATTTACTTAGTGTGTTTTTGCTATTTATTATTTTGTTTGATTAGCTTAACTATATTCGTTTAGTTTCATTTTGTTTGTTTGTTTTATTTTTTTTCTCTTTTCTTTATTTTGTTTTTTCTTGTTCATATAGTTTTCTATCTTAAGTTGAGGGGAGGTCTGTTGTATAAGCTTATAGCTTCTTGACCTCTCCTGTCACGTCCTTATTTTTTTCTATTATTTATCTGGATTCTATGTAGTTTTTACTATGTGTGCAAATAATAAAATAAAATAAAAAATAAAAATAAAATACTGAGCTACAACCAGCAGCCAGTTAGCTTAGCTTAGCTTAGCATAAGGACTGATAATGGGGAAACAGCTTGCCTGGCTTTGTTCATGGGCACCTCTAAAGGTCACCAATAAACAGTAACAAACATACCAAAAAAAAAACCTGAAGTGCAATTTATGGTTTTATGGGGAGTTAGCCGGCCACAGGAGCCTTGTTGTCACTGTTGGGTAAATAGTCAAGCTGATAGCCCCTGTAAAACCACAAAGTGTTGTTTTTCCACTTCAGTTTTTGTACAGGTTAAAGACATGAAGTATACTTAGTGAATTTTTGACAGATCTTGTTATCAGGCCAGAGTTTCCCTGTTTGCAGTCTTTAAGCTGCAGTCTGATATTTAACAGATAGACATGAAAGACATATTGGCCTTTTCATCTAACAAGGAAAACATGTGCAAAACAAGTGCGGCCACTGCCTTATTCTAATCTCAGCTGATACGCACAGATATTATAGTGTTTGATTACTTACTACAAAGTCGCTGGCTTTCAGAGCGCCATCTCTTTTGAACATCATTGAGCACTTCCTTAGCGTTGGTCGGGAGGCATCAACAGGCTCCAGGTCACATGAATTGCTGTAACTGATATATTGACTGTGGGGAGGGAGGGATGTCCTGTTGACATTTTTGCTAAACTCAGTGTCATTTTGCTAACTGTATATTTGTATCAAATCTTAGTTACCTTTTCCATTCTGCGTAAATTGTGCACACACTGTCTGGACGATCAGGCACGCTGTTCCACACACAAGTGATGGTACGATTGTAGTCAGTGTAGCAGGTGAGATCTCTGTGAACTAATGGAGATGAGAAGACAGATGAGAGAAAAATTAAACTTCAGTTATGCTAAAAAATATAACAAAAATTAAGTTATCAGAAAATTACTAACCGTTATCTGGTACGCTCGGACAATTTTGGATAGGGCAGACATGAACAAAAGCCAAAAGAAGAAGACACAGCAGAAGGGTTTCCTTATTTCTCTCCATTTATGATGTCATCAATCTTCCTTTTTTTGGGAGATCTCAAACCAGCTGGATGGTTGGTTTCCAAAGCTAGGTGACTCACAGATGCGGCGGTTTGATGGATTGTTCTTGCATCGGGGCGTAACTCACTGCTTCCATTTTCTTCTCATTCTGTGCAGAGAGATGGCAGACACTCTGAAACGGTTGTGATACCAACAGGTGATCGGAAGGAAAAAAAAAACAGAAATAGAAATGTTTCAGATCCTGCCTCAGCTTGTCAGTTTTATGTTTCCACTTACACAGACTGATAAAACTCCCCTGTAAAATGCAATAAATACCCAGTGTGATGCAGTGAGAATTTAAGGAAATCCCCTGTTAACTCAGGCTTCAAAGCTCAGGATCAACACCACATTCGATATTTATCTTTTTAGTTGTATTTTTCACCTGTTATTTCATTTAGTTTATTGACTGATAGATTGAAAGCAGCATCCCCTAGCTGTGAACTGGGCTCCTGCTCAACAGCCCTTAAAGCCACTATGTTCAGAAGTAAAAAGTAATGGCCGAAAAGCTGTGTTTCGCTGCCGTCTCTCGATAAACGTGTCAAGCCTGTCTCACCTCTGCATCACTGCTTGTTTTAAGGTGAGATGTTAAACCACTTGAGGAAAAAAAGGTGTCAAGTGGCTTTGGGGAGCTGTGAAACAAAACAATCAAGGGCCAGTTCCTACATTTTGGACCTTTCAAACACATCTTACAGGGATTGGGGGGGTCCAGGGAAAAAAATTTACTGGCCCGTCTGGGGGCATGGGTGATCAGGGGAAAAATATGGAGTGAAACAAAGTTGAATGAGTACGGAAAATAAACAAAGGAGTTTGTTGACTCTCCATCCATCCATTTTCGTAACCACTTATTCTCTTGAGGGTCGCGGGGGGGCTGGAGCCTATCCCAGCTGACATTGGACGAGAGGTAGCGTACACCCTGGACAGGTCGCCAGACTATCACAGGGCTGACACATAGAGACAGACAACCATTCACACTCACATTCACACCTACAGACAATTTATAGTCACCAATTAACCTACTCCCCAATCTACATGTCTTTGGACTGTGGGAGGAAGCCAGAGTGCCCGAAGTAGTCTCGCCGCCACACAATCAGAGATCTCCACCTTCTGATAGTCTGGGGACACTCCTTTCTAAAGTGTGTTTTACACACCGGAGAAAACGGCCGGCAACAAAGCAACGCCTCTTGCATTTTTGAAAAGGACACACCCTCCCGGAAATGTGCGCTCCCCCTTTTCTCGTCTGCAAGGACACAAACACACAGAGATCTTGAAAATGGATGCCGAGAGATTTAACTCCGTTTTATCAAACATGTGCTCAGTCCACAAGATTGTGGAAATGAAGGACTTACAGTGACTTGAGCCATTTTGTACCGCTGCACATGTTTCTAGTTGGACTATGTTTACGAGCACAAGAGCCCTGCGGATTTACTATTGGTTCTGCAACGTAGGGAGTTTTTTTTTAACTCTGAAATTGTATTCGCCCATCTAAACACAAAATCAGGGAGAAAGTCATCAGTCTTTAGTTAAGCAAAGCGTCTAAAGACTGACTTGTGAGTCTATGCCCGAAGAGAACCCATGCTGACACGGGGAGAACATGCAAACTCCGCACAGAGGGGCTCCCACACCCAGGATCGAACTGGGAACCCTCTTGCTGTGAGGTGACAGTGCTAACCACCACACCACCGTGCTTAGCATTATTTCTCAAAAATTCAACTCGGATCCTTTTTTATTAGTTGCATCCCACATTGTTGTTAATTATTTATTTAAAAACAAATTGCAGGACGGGGAGCATAAACTTTTTTGGACTTATGAAAGGGAGCATGACAGATAAAAAGTCTGAGAACCACCACAGCTTTAAGCCCAGAGGACTTCTTTATATATGCACCATGTGAGCGCAATATACCTCAAACAAAGTCTTCAAACTAGACTTTGACACCCAGTCCCTCTACAAGACAGGGTCACAAGACACAACAAAGGTCCTCAGCTGGACTCCAACTGGTGACATCGAAGCTTATGGTCTAAAATCGAAAGCCATGACGCAACCCAGTCACGGGAGAAATGTTGGGATTGTGCAACCATGGATACGTTCTATTTGTACATTATTTTGTAGCAGCTGCATTGAGACTTTACTGTGTGGTTAGTTTTAGGCACAAAAATCACTTCGTCAAGGTTAGAAAAATATTATGTTTTGACTTAAAACGCCCACGTTTGATAGCACAAAAGTCGCTGAAAAAGTGTTCACGTTCGGTGGCTTGAAGGCTGCTGGGAAATGCCACCGTGTGTTGGTGAAAAACACCTGGTTCGGTGGTGCAATCGCCCCTGGGAAAAGGCTGCAATGTGCTGCAAAAGACACCTAAGTTAGGTAAAAAACATCCAGTGCCACAAACACCAATGGAAACATCATCAAGTGTCACCACAACACAACCAGTGATGTTGATCTCAAAAGTGGCCGCAAGCTTGGCAGGCATCTTGCCTATAGGCTACACAATATCCACCATCCTCTTCACCTCCCAATATTAAAAGTCAGCTTATAGTCTACGTCACTTTAAAATCGTTGATTTGAAATGCATGTAAACATGCAAATGTAACTTAGTTTGCAGAAACGTAAACATTTTCTTCTAGTGACTGGGCTGCACAGGGGCCCCCGGGACCCAGCTTGGTTGATATGGTACTGTAAGTTATAGAAATTCCTAAACATGTCTACCATTAATAAAACTGATTTGATTTGATTCAACTTTAGTGTCAGGAAATATTCTGAAATTTGTCTTGCTTGCCAGGACTTCAACTGTTTTACATAAATGCACATAAATACCAAAAAACAACATTTAACCAAACAATCAAACCATACTACACACACCTCTAAAGTCTGCACATAAGTTGCTTCTTGTTTTGGGGTGAATTGTAACCATTTGATGTGTTATTTGAGCACCACCAAATCATGAAGCTGATACAAATACTGACTAGTCAGTCAAGAATCACAATGGATATATATATTGGATACTGTGTCATTCATGATGTCTTTGTGGTTTGATTTAACATGCTCCTTCTTATAATGTTCAGTAAACTAAACCAAACTCGTAGGCTATACTACCTGAAATGATAAAAAGAGGAACAGCAATAGTGCCAGTTGCAGTTATGGATACATGAATAATCAAAGTCTCATTGGATGTAGGTGTAAAGATTTGCAAACCAAATGACTTATGGTAAAAACTGAGCAACCTTGAGAAAACATTTCCAATAATGTGCTCTAAAGACAGTCATCATACCCGTGTGTCATAAAAAAAACAGAATAAAATACCCGACATTTAAGCAGAGCAGCTGTCTGCCTGCTCAGGTATCACATCCTCTCTTACCACCTGATGACATGAAACAATAATGTGATATGCCACCTGTTACATGTTAGATCCAAACAAACTTTATGTCTTACCTGTCGGTGAGCTGCTCAGGCTGTGCTTCAAAGTGCTGGTTTCACTCCATTTGATGTCCTGTGTAAAAAAAAACATGAGACAAATAAGGTTTTTCCTCTGCCAGGAAATGGCAAACCACCACCTCGTAGAATCTGCACTCTTTGAAGGCCACTACTAAGAAGTTTAATCTCAAGATCAGTTGTCCTCCTACGCTCTGAACTCAGACTTGAGGGTGTGAAAACTGAAGTCATCTTCACCTCTCAGTTTTCGTGGTTAGGTTAACACCTCAGAGCATTTTCCTCTATCCTTCGACCTATTATTGAGGACATATGCTAATGGTAGTACTCGTTGCTTACCTTTACCGTTTCTGTAACTTGAAGCGGATGATTTCAATAAGAAAAACAAAAATCCACCACACGGTCCTAACACAGGTGAATACTGGCTACCTCTGTGCTGATGCTACAGTCTTAATCCTCTCCTTTACTTCCCTGCAGCCTGTCATTTCCCCCAGTCTAAATATGTAATTACACTGAGCACACACACACACACACACACACACACATGCAAGCAGGGTGTAATGTTTAATATTTGATATTGCATGTGTGTTTGTCTCCTCTTTCCCTACAGTTGACACATGTTAAACAGGTTGTTGCTCTCGTATCTGAACCACACTGACATTTAAACTGTCAAAAACAGGATGAAAAATAAATGTGTACGTGTCATAGGTATGATTTGTGGTATGTGGTTATTACAGCCCACTGCACATCGACCCACAAACACCCGCAGCCCCAAATGCAGCAACTAACTTTCACTCACTCTGCACAATAACAACACCAGTGGGCTACATTGTTACAAGTGCCCAGTAGACATTTTATCTTAGTAAGAATTTATTCTTTTTTCTCTTTTTCCATTTCCGTTCACAGGGGAAACAGTTCTGCAAGCGCCCAGGTCACCTGTTTATGCGGTTTAATAAAGGGCAAAGTGTTTTTTTTCTGAGAACTCAAATGTTCCATCAATTTGACAGGTGCACTTTCTGCTCAGAGTACTTCCTTTTCTTAAAACAGCTCTAATCTGATCGCAGCTAATGTCCTCAGCAATTCTAATCATTAGCGTATCATCACAATGAAGGAGTCAGCAAACAAGCAAATGTGCCCATCAGGAAGTTGACATATTTAACAAGTCACTTTGTCCTTAGCTGACCATTTCTGAGTGTTAAAAAAAACCTCACTTGTTAACAAAAAGTGAGAAAAGGGAAGCTGAAGTACACAGATCCTCTTATAGTGTAACTGTGTATTAGATTTAGCCCACTCTCTCATAGCTGCTGCTTAAAGGGGTCAGAGGGTTTCCAGTATTGCTCACAAGTGGTTTTGTAGCAGAGTCCTTTTCTGTGACAAAGTCTGTCCTATTGTGGCTCTGGATACCAAAGCTGCAGTGGCGCCCCTGCTCACGTTCTCCAGGCCTTACAGTCCCCTTTCACCTCCCGGACCTTGGCCTCGAGAGCACTTTTTGAAGGTCACGGCCTTGTCTTGAACCCAGACCTTCTATCCTCAGACCATCCACTAGATGCCCTCAGACTGTCTTTCCAGCCCATGTCACCTGACGTCCCTTCCCACTATACACCTGCTCCTACTTTGCTCATCAGCCCTTCAGGCATATATACCAGCACATTTCTACTTGTTTCCTATCAGATTGTCTAATGTACTCTTCACTAAGTGTCCCAGTGTCTTTGCTCATCTGCCTGTTGACTGCCTTTGGAGTCCTGCCTTTTCGCCTGCTCCCTGCTTGGATAAGTCTGCCTTCTTTGTGTCCCTGCTTGGTTCCAGTAAAGACAGTCTTTTATCTCTACCTGCTTGAGCTTTGAGTCCTGCTTTTGGGCCAAAGCCCACATCTACCAAATCATGACAGATCTGTAAATTCACCAACCTGACAACTGTAATCCACTACTACTCCTCAGTGAGGATAGAGGCAGGATTTTGCTGTATAAAACCTGAATTAAGTGCAATCACAGTAATCACAACAAAATATCCAGATGCATTAAAGGCAGAGAAATCAGACTGCTGAAACACAGCACTTTGCCCTGACAGATGCTGGATGTGGATGTATTATCATGCTCATAGAAAACAACTTGCCTGTATTCAAATCATAAACCATTTATTAGTTAAACTGAAAGTCAGGTCAGTTTCAGTACAAGTTTATATCTGATAGGAAAGCATCATTCAGAAGAATCGGTGCTATGGTTAACCACAGCTAGTCTTATCAAGTGATTACTGTTTGCCTGAGCTTTAAGGTTTCCTGTTATACAGTTTTGATTAGTACTTGTCTGGGAATCAGTATTTTCCACAGAAGTGATGAGATTTTGACGCTCCATGAAAACTGACAGTAGTGCCAACAACAGACAGTGATGACGATTCAAGATACAGCTTTTATGTAATTAAAATTAAGAGCCCAAGTTATCCACTGACTTGTGTCCTAAATACAACTTTGTTTTCCAATAAAAAAATATATATAAATGCAAATTGGTTCGATTCCAGGAGGGAGGCCTTCTGTGTGGAGTTTGCATGTTCTCCCCGTGTCAGCATGGGTTTTCTCCGGGTACTCCGGCTTCCTCCACAGTCCAAAGACATGCAGGTTAATTGGTGACTCTAAATTGTCCGTAGGTGTGAATGTGAGTGTGAATGGTTGTCTGTCTCTACATGTCAGCCCTGCGATAGTCTGGCGACCTGTCCATGGTGTACCCTGCCTCTCGTCCAATGTCAGCTGGGATAGGCTCCAGCCCCCCCGCGACCCTCAAGAGGATAAGTGGTTACAAAAATGGATGGATGGATGGATGCAAATTGGACTGCAGATGTGAGGCTGGTTGGATGTACTGCCACATTCACAGACATGACAAGACAGCTTCATTGGCAGCAGCTCTGGCGGACATTCCTGCAGCAGTGTTGTAGTGCTTGAGATCAGTCTTGGCCTCGAGACCACTTTTTGAAGGTCTCGGCCTTGTCTTGGACTTGAATGCATTCAAGAGACCTCTGGATTTTGTTATTTTAGGACTGGTTAACACCCAAACTGCGAGGATATCACAAAAAGGAGTGCTGAATATGAAGATGGTTAAGTTGATTTTGATTTAAACTTCAATTGGGCTTGGGAAATATTTTAAAAGATCAAAGTCTTTACTAGTAAACCTTGCAACCTCACAGTGATTTAATTTTTGTTGAATAGCATACATAATGGGTATCAGGAGGTAAGATGTGAAGGAGAAAAGTTATACTAATTTCACAGCAGTTGTGCTGAGTAGCGATTGTATTTTTCAAAGTTGCGAGGAGTTCTCTAAATACCAATCAAGATACTCATTTTTATATCATAATTCCTATTTAGTTTTGATTTAGGAGGGCTATGGAGTTGACCTGTTATGGTTGAGACACACCTAATCGCAATACTTTTTAATGAATTTAACCTAAAATAGAAAGCTTTCCAGTGCTGGAGAAAAGCAGCTAGAAGCAGTTAGCAGCTAACTCAAAGAAGAACAGCAGCTGATGCTTATTTAGTCTGTCTTTCAAACTTGGTGAATTTTGAACAATGTTTGAGTGCTGCTTGGATGGAGACAGACGATATTTTGTAATTGCATCTCACTGGTAAAGGGGCTAAAATTAGTGTGTTCAACCGGGTGCTGTATTTCCATAATTGCTGATTGGAGCCAGAGCCAACCCATGATTACTGCAGAGTCACTTAACCTGGTTGGGAATGCCAATAGTAACCTTTTGTTCAGCGTAGGTTATTTGGTCTCAAAAATGGATGGTTGTGTAAATTACAGCACTGAGATCAGGCCGTTACTTTGTGTTGTCAGATTACTCCAGTGACATCATTTGAGTAAGCTAGGCATATTTAGTTGGAAACTGGCATTTACCAAGCAGTGTGTGACACAAGATACTATGAAGTTGCATTATAAGAAGTGTATGACCTAGTGTTATTTTGCAGCTTGGGCCATATTAGGAACTAAAAAAATTGTAGCTGGTAAACTCTACCTTGAGTGGAACTGTGACGAGAGCCATTCAGTGTCACGACACACAATGGCTTGATTGTATGTCACTCTGTACAGTCCGCTGAACTTCCCCAGCTGACGGTCTATACTTATCCAGCACATGATTAGCAACTGGTGGTGGGAAAAACCTCTCTGGGGAGGCAGCTCTTTGAATCAAGCCAACAAGTCGAGAGCTCTTTCAAGTCTCACTTTGTCAGCCACTATCTGCTTAACTGTCTACCTCTTTCTAATCCCTTTTACCAACACACATTTTCGTTCTCTTTATAACTGTCTTCTGCTGACATTTGGACTTCCCCTCTGTCACTTTCCTCTCTTTCTTTCTGAAAAGCAAAGAAACAACCACATACTAAATACGCACAGAAAAAACTCACACAAAACCACTTCCTAACCCCTTTCTCTTCCCAGAAAGCTACTGTTGTTTCTAATAAGCATATAGAAAAAATGAATTTACTACCCAGCAAGTTTGCATTTCCTACCCTGTAGTCTTATATACAATTTTGTCTTGATGATACTGATGCAAAGACTACTGAGGTCACAGTCTCTGACAGCAGCCATATTGGCAGAGTGAGGATGAGGCTCAGTCCTTTTAGCAATTATATGTATTAGTACTGACCGCTGAGGCAGCTAGTTTGATTCAAATCTTTGTAAAGCAACATTTGAATTTTTTAAGAACTCGAAGATACTACTTAGTGAAACTACTAGAATCAGTCAGTGTTTATTCTAAAAACATGATCGTTACTGATCCTTAAATGAGTAAATCTGGCCTGAAAAAGTGAAGTCAAGTTGAGTGAGAGTTTGTCAATGGGTGTTTTAATATCATTTTGCTGTTGTTAATTGTTGACCCCATTTACTTCAATTCAATTTTTTGGATACTCTGTTTACTGTGGAGACAGTTTTCTTCACAAATTCAAGGTACCACGCAGTGAGTAACTGCTGTACGACAGGTCATTCTGTTGGTAATTTATTTTTATGGTGCATGGCAAAAAGGATCTCAGTTGGAATCCAAGTCTTGTGCACAGTGCTAAGAGGAGCCCATTAAAGCCTGCAACCCACATATTTCAGTGAAATGTAGAATAGACATAACGCACAAAAGGCGTTAGATGCCTTTGTTGGTTTGGTTATAAAGCTATAAGTGAAAGAGTGTGAGGTGAAGGTGGGAGAAATTAGCATAACTTGCAACAGCAGCATGTAGGAGTGAGCATCACAACCTGAAACAGCAGCCGCATGACTGATGGGCACAGTGAGACTGTGAGCTTGAATTATTTATTCAACATTTACTGGACAGATTGCCATAAAATTTGGTACAGATATTCAGACGATGTATCCCAATAAATTTGGTTGACATTTTTTAAATGAAATGTCATGAAAACTGTAGGAAGGATTGCCCTGAAATTTGGTACAGACCAACATTCCCTACAGGATGAAATGTAAAAACTTTGACATCCCACGGTCAAAATTTCAATTTGTCCTATACATGTTAGCATTAACATTGTGAGCTTGCTGACTTTAGCATTTAGCTCAGAGCACAGCCTCACAGAGCTGCTGTGGCTGTAGGCACAAGGAAATGAGTCCCTTCTGTCTCTCTCCTTACTCCCCCACACTGTTTGCTCTTCCCCGTCTCGTGCCTCCTCCACCTTCTCACACCTTCCCACATATGAAACCCCACACACCTGCCTTTCTCTCTCTATCTATCTTTTTATACGAAAACTCTGAGTGTATGTATGGCAGGATGTCATCTGCTATCTGTCAGCATCACAAATCCCTGGCTCTTACTGTCATACAAACACACCAAACTACCTTTATTAATCAGTATTTCCAAAACATATAGTTGGATGGTTTAAAATGGTTACTTGGATGAAACTCTTAATCAGACTGTCTGAAGTAATATATAGTCGCTGATGTGGCTAAAAAAAGTTTGTGACACACATGTAACACAAGAGTTATATCTGCTGTGCAAAGGCTAAAAATTAGCTGTTAGTATCGTGTTTTTCTTGGCAGACTGGAGAGGACATTGGTAGCTCGAAAAAGCAAAAAGCAAAAAAAGAGGATCTTGAATTCAAGTAATTTTGTCAAACTTCTGTATTCTACTAAACAAAGGCTAAAAGTTCTCAAAAAGATCTTGCTGTTTCATCCTCATGACGTCATTGTCAGCGTCGTCATCTTTAACACATTAATCCACTTCCAATCCGTCATCAAAAACACCCCATGATTAAACAAAACTCACTTTATCATCCTCTTGATCAATATTACCACTTCTGCTTTAGCATCATTTCCCATCACCAAGTCATTCATTCATTACACTGAAAGATAAGGCCGATCTAGCCTATGTCAAAAAGTAACCACGACCAAGGATGATTTAAACAAGAACATACCTGTCTATTTTCTTTCTGTTGAGAGCTCTTCCCCTTTCTCTACGTTCAAAATGAATGATCAGTTGTTTCCATGTGTGTAGACTCATTCAGCATGTGCTGATAAGTTCTGTTTCTGTAAAACTAGATCATCTCGTCTCAGAACTTGTAGGCCTAGTGACGTGTAGGAAAGGTTTGTGAGCAAAGAAAAAAAAAAGCTGTGGTTTGTGGCTTCCCTGACTGGTGATATCCAAGCCTCAGTTTCAAGAAACAGTGTGAAAGATTAGGGTGGAAACCCCTTTTAGAGTCGGCTTTTTTTTCTCTTCTTACTGCTGTTCATGTTCCCTTTACGTTATGACATTCAGTGTTGTCTCAGAAAATGTCCTTGTGTTACTACCATTCATCATTTATGAGAAGTAACAGTATGCTTTCCCCTGACACCCAGATTAGGCCCTAAAAGGCAACCTTCAAACCAGCCAGGGGTCCAGGAACCTCCGGGGGTTCTTGGGGGAGTTCTAGGGGGTCTCCAGATAAATGGGGAATATTTGTTTCACTATTTTATTATCTATAGATGAGCTTAATGTAGGTAAGAGTCATATGAGTGACTGTTCTGATCGCAGGTTTCACTTCCTCCACAGTTAGCTCCTCAGCTGTAGTTAACAACTATAGAATTCTGGTCTTAATAATATCTAACAACCAAAATCTTTTCAGATGGAGGTCCATCAAATAGGGGTCCGTGACCTCATGCGTATCAGTTTTGTGTCCTTGATATCAGTGGCTCCCCTAGAATTTTTTCAAAATCTTGGGGTGGCACACCAAAACCAAAAGCGGGGGAATTCTATTATGCTGTTGTATAGGCACCTTAATACCTATGTCGATGTGAGAGCTAAGGAAACATATACTTCAAGGGACAACTCAACACGGTCTCACTCCGAAGTCGTCGTCGAAATCCGGCACTTGGGCAGTGACTTCTGGCATCAGACACCGACGAAAAAAAAAACGTCCTTTCACATTGGCATGATATGTAGCCGGTCCACTGACAGTGTAAGGGGGAAACACGGCGGGACAACAACGCAAGTTAAGGTGGCGGATGTCTGGGCGGGCGGGGGTTAGGGATGGTGGATGGGTCCAAAAACCACAGACTTTCACGTGGAGGCTGGTGTTGGCTTCCTGTAAGATTGTAAAGCCAAGCTCTGTTCTTTCCTCCTAAACCCAACCACGTGCATGTGTTGGCAAAACATAACCACATGCTTTTGTTGTTGAAGGAAAAAAAACTTCAACCCGTAGTGCTGTACCGACGTAGTGCATTTAATTTTTTTTTTTTTTTTTTTAAAAAAGACTGTATTCAAAATGGTGTAGCGATTGTATCAGGGGCCCTCCTTGGCCCCCTGTTGGGGACGCCACTGCTTGACATGAAAAAGGTTGTGAACCACTGTCTAAAACAAATCTTAAAACACAAAAATACCCTTACTTGTTCGCCTTCATACAAACTCTTGATGGACTCTTCATGTTATGCCTCCTTGTATTCCTTTGCAAACCTAAAGGACAGGTCCTGTTTTAGTCTATTTTAAAGAAATAGTCTTTGGGAAATATGCTTATTTGCTCTCTTACAGAGAGTGCCATGAGATGATTGATACCACTCTCACATCAGTATGATAAATATGATAAAGATGGTTAGCCTAGCTTAGCATGAGACTGGAAACAGGGGGAAACAGCTAGCATGGCTGTATCCTAAGGTAACAAAATTTGTGTACCAGCACCTCTAAAGCTCACTAATGTTGTATTCCTGTTTATTTGTTTTAAATGGAGAAACATCAGATGACCTTTAAGTATTCACAGGAAATGGAATGGGTTTTCAGTGAGCTACCTGCTCGTACAAAAATGTGGTCATTGCCGTAATGCCGTGCATGTTTTTACAGGAAGAAATGAAACAAGGAGTGGCCTCAGCGGTTGTTAGATGAAGAGCTAAAGGCAACAGGCTGTGCACCTCCAACTTAGCAAGGTAACCACTTAATGGATGCAGAATATCATAAATCATCCTCTGCCACAGCTCAAAGAAGGCATTTTGTACCAAAAAAAAAAAAAAAGATTTCATATCTAAGTCAGACTGCTGAAGCCCCATGTTAACTCCAGCTTAACTTTGCAGGCATTTCTACATAGAAACAGGATTGTGGATTCTGTCTTCTGTGTTTTCACGAGTTCGTGTTTGGACAGAATCATTTCATGGCCAGTATGGAGAGGAGGAATACAGCAGCCACTAACTCTTTCACCATGCACATGTGAGTGCTGTCTTATAACAGACTTGCAGCTGTGTTAGCTCACGCTACACACTGAACTGACCATTCTCTGGGTAGAGAGAGGCTTGGAGTAGGCCTGTAGGAATGCAGCTTCCAAATTCTCCCAGTGGCCACTCATGGTATTACAATAACAAAAGAAAAATGCCCTGCGGCCCAAAAAGCCTTTTCCCCATAGAACACTGTTGTTAAAAAGACATCTGTAAAGCTGTTGACAGGACACCTCCAACTGCAAACAAAGTCAATTATGATTCGTTCTAGTATGAATGTTTGATCCATGGAGGGTTTTTTTTTTTTGGGGGGGGGGGGGGGGGGACGACTTAATAAAATAAAACCAGACCAGGATATTAAAATGTTTTTGAATACAGTATAGAAATCTGCACATAACATCTTTTCAAATGCTGTGGTTACAACCAGGTAAATAATACAGTCAACAAAAGGGAAGGTTTTTGATATGTTCTGTAAAAGGACTCCAGATTAAGAGGAGCGATCACTTCCTTTAACCACTGTAAGAATGATGGGGCTTTGTCTGATGAATGAGTTTGTGAGCCACCAGTAAACCTACAGAGCTGTAACCTTGCAATCTGGGTATGATCCATGACGGTTTAATATGCGTAAAAATTTCCTCGAGGTGAAAACTATTTTAAAATCTGACATCATCACAACATAAAGTCTAATAGCCACGCAGGAACTTTACTACTGCACATATTCAGTAGGCTGCATGTAGTGGAAGTTACCCTGAAGCTAGGAACTTTTTTGGCGTTAGCGCCAGGTGAGCGGCTCCATTGACATGAATAGGCACCATCTCGGGGTCTGGTATCTAGTTAATATCATACACCTATGCTCTGGAGACAGTCCTTCAGGTCTGCATGTGTGTAACTGCAGCAACACAAAGTTTTCTTATCTGGTGGGGAGTCAGATAACTGAGGATGTCAGCTGAGAAGGTGGCCCATAAGTGTGTCCCAGGACACATGAGCATATATACTGCTGAAAGAGTGTGGCCATATGCGGCCCAGTCCACCTATAAATGTGGTCTGAGTGATTAGATCTCAAGACGCAATGACGACGCACTGAGTGCACTCCTGTACTTAGAGCTGTCCACATGTGATCCAGTCACAGAGGATGCATGCTAATAGCAGGTGTAAAGAGGGCCCAAAAAGACTGGCATACAGCAATGCAAACTGCTCAGCCAAATGTTGCAAACAATCTTTTAAGTTACAGTGCAAAATAGTTACCCTTCATAGGTGTTATTCAGACTGACCATCATAAGCTGTCGTGTGTTAACTTGCAGTTAAAAATCAGTCCTTTCAGCTGCAGGAAACCAGTTCTTATCAGTGATTTTAAAGGTTTGTTTTTCTGTGACAGATAACAGGATGAAACATGAGGGGCTGCCCCATATCACGTCCCACATGCACATTGTGCCACAAAACATTTCAACTTCAACTTTTTTGAAAACCGACAAACGTAAATTCAACTTCTGCTTTGGCAACAGCAGCTCCCACGTGTTTGCAGTGTCAGACTCTTAGCAATATTTCATGGCAACCGTCATGCTCCTGCTGTTTGTAGTCCAGCAGCATTTGCCCATGAATATTCAAATATTCTCCAGTACCCTGATTCATATTCAGAAAAGTTCTGGTGTGACCTCAGCAGACCGCACTTACCTCATTTATTCATCAGTAGGAAGAACAGCAATTCACTAATGAGCCTATCTTGAATTTTATAAAACAAACCAGAAATTGCAGGCAGCATTTTAACACACTTCCCTGAACTGTAAAGTAACCAACACCTGAAATGCCAACATACATATATATTTTTCAACTGAGTTCAAACTCAGTCAGATGTTTTGCTGCCCTCAAGTGGCCACTGTTTTAATTTACCATCCTGATCAGGATTTTGTCAGGTCTGTTTTTAGCACATGAAATCCAGACATTAAATGATTTTGTTATTAGAAAATGGAAAGATCTTTATACATTCATTCATTCATCTTCTAACCGCTTCATCCTCTTGAGGGTGATCTTTATACAGTGTTCATGAAACTATTCTAATTCAAGTATGCATGTTTTGTCTAAACAAATCGTGCTGATCTTAAAACATGAAAGTAGCAAATTTATATGGTATATAAAAGTGACATCTGGTTCATTTCTAAAAATTGATTTCAGAAAGGTTTTGGCAGTGCTCTGCCCCGTAGCTCGATCTGTCTTACCACTGGACCTCATGTTCACAGCAAGATAACTGAAACTATTTCTTTATCAGATCAACACACTCACCAGTCCGGGATGTCTCCTCCCTCAGGCCTCAACAGCAGAGATGAAGACTTCAGTTGACTCTCTTTTGTGACTCCTTTTTGTGTCATTTGTAAAACATCCATAAAAGAATAAAGTACGGCTGTTTAACTCAGAGATGACTCGTACTCAACAAGAGGCAGCTTCAGACTAAAGTAGAAGAGGAAGTTAGGAATTTTATGAGCTTCACTGTAGTTTCATTTTCAAAGTTTCGGTGTGCAGTTTTGGAGAAGGACAGCTGATTGTTGATTGTTATTCTGAGGGTGCAGGTCCCAAACCAGAACCCCCTCCATAGATCATATCACTCCTGTTCTCCAGCAGCTTCACTGGCTTCATTTCTGCTTTTCACCGTTAAGGCCCTTCATAATCGAGCGCCTCTCTTCCACACGACATTTGCAATGTTAACCCCCTTTCCACTTCCAAACCCTGTCTGAAAACACAACTTTTCAAACTTGCATATTCGGTCTAATTTAATGGAGATACACATACTGTATGGTGACCTGCACTGATGATGACTTTATGATGCAACACTTTCTCACTCCGACCTCTCATGGCACATATTAACATGCTTGGTCATGGACTTTCCACGTCCACATACAACGTGCAAGGTACCTGGGTGCATTGGTTGTTGACGTTCTGGGACACCATGTCAAACTCTGCCTGTTACATGCATTGTCCTCTTTCAAAATACACGTCTGTTTTCACAGGAAATGTAATGTTTACATACAGTCTCTTTCAAAATAAATGCACTACATCGGTACAACTTTTTGAACTGACATTTTTTTCCCTTCAACAACAAACACATGGTTAGGAAGTGGTTAGGTTTAGGAAAAAAGAACAGGGTTTGGCTTTAGAATCTTACGGGACATGAACACTGCTCTCTCAGGTGAATGTCGGTCTTTGTTGGATCCATCCACCACCCCTCCCATTCGCCCCACTCAGACTTTTGGCGCCTTAACTTTCGTCCTTGTCCCGCTGCATGTCCCCCTGATGCTGCCAGGCGGTGTTAAACTATAACGGCAACCAGCCGCTTATCATGCTGACGTTAAAGGACGTGTTCTTTCTTTGGTTTCTGACGCTGCAAGTCACTGCCCAAGTGCCGGATTCAACGACTTCGGAGTGAGACCGGGCTCTATGATGATGATTTATACCCAGTATTTATAATTACGATCTTTGTTTGTCATTTTATTAACTTTTATTGTGTATTACAGTATTGTTTGATTTTATGATCTATGGATACACTGCTGCTTGTTTTTTAACTGTGTCTTGTAAGGTGTCCTTGAGTGCTCTGAAAGGCACCTATAAATAAATTAATATATTATTAGGACCTGAGTTAGAGGTTATTTACGTTTATCTTAGAGTATCTGTATATCAATACTTGAAAAATATGTTTTATCAAAATGCATTTAGGTGATGAGTGTATTGTTGCAAAGCAAGTCTCTTTTTTCTGGTTTTACTGGTGACACTGTTCATCACTGTTTTAAGGAAAAAAGTAAAGTGAATTTCAAGAGTGAATGACAATAATGTTGAGTTATAGTATTATAAAAATGGAATATTATTTGCTATCGACAAAACTGCCTGGAAACCTGAGAAAGTTTTCAACAGATAAAAAAGATAACAAGCTTTTAAAGTAGTGTATTGTAACTGCTGTGGGGCAGTTTGAGGAATCAAAGAAGAGTCTGTTTAAAAACTAAAAACAACAAAACACTACTATAATTCTGTTGTATTATAAGCATTTACTGGACTCAGTCATTCAATGAGAGCACTTTTCTTTCACAGGTGGATATCTTAACTAATCAGCACTCCCAATATTCAGCTCACAGGTCTAAAGTCCAACGGTCAAACTCAAAACGCACTTTTCTACCAGCCTGCCAAACCAGACTCTGCTCTCAGGTCAGTTCTGTGACCCCTCTGTCAAGCTTAAAGCCCCTTAAAATACACACGGGCCTAAACACATTTACATGAGGAATAGCTGTGCAAGAGATATCAATACCTTCCCGACTCTTTGTGATTCAAAGCGCAGCTCTATTTTATTACCAACACAAGCATTACAGATGTAAACAAAGCTCTTGTAGCGTCACTGATCAAACAGTCATCAGGTTTAGTGTTCACTTATTGCTGGCTCTTTAGTCAAGTCATCTATTCATGTGTTTGGAGTGAAAAAAAAGTCTCTTAGTGATGTATGTTTGGATTACACATTGTTTTCAAAAGGCGTTAAAAGAATAGTTTAAAGGAATAGTTTGACATTTGGGGAAATTTGCTTGTCAGCTTTTCTGATATAGCTCTCATATCTGTAGACTAAATAGGAAGCTGCAACCAGCAGGTGGTTAGCTTAGCTTAGCATAAAAGCTGGGGGCAAGCAAAAACAGCTAAGCTGGCTCTGACCACCACTTGTCGATTTTACGTTTCTTTGTGTGCACAGTAAAAAAAAAAAAAGACATAATGTGCAAAAAAATTAAACAGAGGCTAGCTGTTTTCCTGTTTCCAGTCTTTATGCTAAACTAAGCTATGCTAAGCTAACTGTCTGCTGGCTGTA